TCCAAGAGTGCCTTCCAGGACCTGAAAGGCACTCTCGGACCCTTTGGAGGCTTCCCACCCCCACTGGCCCAACAGGCCGAAATTCCCAAATTATTTTTCCTGTTTTCTTCTAAAAATTTGGTGCGTCTTATGGAGAGGTGTGTCTTATGGAGCGAAAAATATGGTAACTGGGTAGACATTTTTGACCTAGAGTTCTCCTTGCTCAAAAAATAAAATAGTTGGGAGACCAATTCCAGTCTTGGTATTACATGTCTCATTTGGATTTCTTCACAGACTTACTCAAGCTAGAGCTCCTACTTTATCAGCATAAAAGCCTAGATTTAGAATGGGAGCAAATTCTGGCCCTGATGACAACATTCATGTTGCCATGTGTACCCCTCCCTCAGATCAGGTGGACCATTTACCTTGCGTCTTCTCCAGTGACACTCCAATCTGGGCAGAAGTTCAGGCTGCCTCTTCCCGCCTCCCCTGGCAGCTGACCGCTCATTGGCTGCATTGGGAGACTCCTCATCCCGCCTCCTTGTCAGAGTGGTGGGCTTCCAGAGGAGGCGGGGATGGGCAGCCCAAGCTCCTTCCCGGGTTGGAGCATTGCCGGAGAAGAAGGACCCTGGTGCTGCGCGAAGCAGGGTAAGTGGCCCAGCTAATCTAGGGCGTCAGGTGAGTGGATATGAAGCAGCTGTGGTGTCACACCTACAAATTTTACTGTTGGGGACCACATTAATTTGGTCCTATCTCTACCTAGATTCATAATAGTAGACCCTGATTATGGAGCATGGCCAGTTTTGAACAAGCTGGTTGATGGCATATTAAACTCTGGTTCCTCAGTTATTGTCCAAAGAGTAATAGGGTGCCCTGAAAACACAGGTGGTGGTAGTTATTCCTCAGTCCATTCAGCCTCTCCCGCTTAGTATTTTTGCTACCACTGGATATGGACTTTGTGGATGGAAAGGGAGTGAATTATCTATACGCTTTTCTTTGCAGAATCCAATAAAGATGGCTCCATGATAAAACCAGCCAACAAACGGCCGCTTTCCTCTCCTGACCTGTGAGTATCTACTGTGGTTTGTATTTATGTTAAGAGGGGGGAGCAGGGAATAATTGTAGGTTTTCCTTTTATGGATAAAGGACTGGTATGGCACTGTGTGTGTGTGTGTGTGTGTGTGTGTGTGTGTGTGAGAGAGAGAGAGAGAGAGAGATATGCCTACCAAGAGGGATCGCTTCTTCCATTTGTTCCCCAAAGGAATAAAAAGGACTGTTCTGAAACCAGAGATACTTAGATACATTCTCAGGTATGAGTACTTAAAGGTACTCTGAAACTCTGTTCAGATGTTGGTCTCAGGAGGCCTTGAGCTTCAGGGTTAAAAAAAGCGATAAGAGGTGCCACATGCATATTCTTTCTCACGCACTCAACATGTCAGGGGTCTGAAGAGGTTATCTGATGTGCTCTCTGTACCTAACAGCCCACCCTTCAGTCCCGTGTTTGCAATCATGCATAAATAAATGGCTCCCATGAACCGTCAGCAACCAGCAAATGCTGAGCACTCTGGCAATGTGTTCCAAAACATACTAGGAAGACTACTGCGGCTGCATGCCTCCCATGAACGGCTTGCCTTACATGTTTTCCCTGATGTGATTGTGGGTGGTTCCAATGAGTGACAAAGGAGGGGCTGAAGTCAAGGAGCAGACTTGCTCATTCCTCTAGTCCTTCCGCAGAGAAAGAGGACATGTTGCTTTGTACAGAGGGTGAGATTTGATCCTTGCTGTTCCTCTCTTTCTCTTTCAGGAAAACTGCTCCAAAGAAGCCCAAAGCAGATGGGCAGTGAAGGGTGTCCTCCCCAGCTGTCCTCTCTTCCTGCCTGCTCCACAGCCTCCGCCTGAACCCCCAGCCACTCAGCCGCCCCTGTGTGTGGAGGACGATAGAAGCGCCGAAAGCACATGTCATACACTGTGGGGCTGGACTGTCGGGGTGGGGCGGGAGAAGAGACATGGAGGCTCACGTGAGGGAGCCTGAGCAGGGCCCATCACTGTGCCAGGCCCTGGCCGGGGGACGAAGGATTGGTGTTCTGCCCCCGCCCCCCCAACCACCACCCCGTTGACATGGACACTGATGTTAGGGGTGGGTTTGGAGGGAGAAATTGTTAATGGGGGGAGGGGGGCTGTTGGGTTTTTTTACAAGTTGCAGTTACAGGAATGAAGTTCTTTTGTATTCCCCAGCATCCTGTGTGTCGGAGGTGGGAGGATTCCTCCCCTGCCTCCAGTTCTTCTTGCCTCTGTACAGACCCTCTCCCTCAGTTTAGTTTTTAGTGTCTGCATTGGTAATGGAGAGGAGTCTCTGCTGTTCGGGGATTGGTGGGATGTGATGTGGTTGGACCACAGATGCAGCTACTTGGGATGGGGAGGGGTGGGGGTTAAGCTCATTCTACATCAGCTGTTCTAATGCTCAGCCTGGGGTGCTTGTGGCTTCAACCCAGCCCCTTCTTGCCCTGTATGTGTGGCCGGCCCTTCCCCCTGCTACAGCAGCACAAGCTGATTCCCCCTCCCCAGTCTGCTCTTTCCCCTCCAGGCCACAAAGTGGCATGCTCTCTAGGCAGAAGGCTTGCCACATGCCTCTTCATTTCTTTTATATGAAACTTTTATAGGAAAATAAAAATAAAAAATAGGTTGGGGTTGGGAGGGGCAGCCTGCTTTCCTGGGGCAGGGATACGGGCAGGAGCAAGGCTGCAGAGCAATGTGTTTGGCTGTCGACACACCGCTGTCACCTTCTGGGCAAGCATCTACGCTTCTCCCCCTCCAAGGCGATTGACCCATCCCACCCTTGCTGCCTCTCTGGACATTCCGTAGAGGGAAGGGGGTGAAGAGCAGCCAAGGCTGATCTCTCAAAGACAGGAGCAGAGCAGAGCAGAGCAAGCAACCCCTATTTGCACACATGGATTGCTGTGTCCTACCTCTCCGTTCTTCAGGGGGCTGGCAAGTCAAGAATCCTCTCCAAAACAAAGAGAGAAAAAAAACACCCCAGGAGCAGACTTCTCTCCCCAACTTGCTTGGTGCCCTGGTCTTTTGTATTATAGTGTATTTCGCTGTGTCCTCCCTTTCCTGTTTGGACCTTAAGATTCCTTCCTTATATCTTGCCCAATTTATTTTCCATTGAGACAGGAACAGCCCTCATAGGAGTTTCCCATGGCTATATTCCTCCTCCCCACCCTCCACCCTCTAGTGCTGCGTATCTGTCGTTTTTGTGCTATTTTGAACAATTAAAGACTTCTTTTTTCTTTTTTTTTTCTTTTTTGGAAGCAAGACTCGGTGTTTGAACTTGGGGCCACCCCTCATTCTCTGCATTTTAGGTGTTCCTGACTAGCTTTGACAGACAGGGCTCCCTCCCCCCCCCCCCAAGGAAAGGAAGGGGGCACAGGCTTTTTTTTTTTTTTTACTTTGGAAGCTCATGAGATTGGAATACAAATTTCCAAGCTGCCTACAATATGATCTAGCTCCCTCCCAAAAAGAAGGCTGCCTCTTTCGGAGAGGCAGAGATCTGTACTGGGATCCAAGCACCGCAGTTTTGTTTTGCCAGCTGTCCTGGGGAACTCTTCTCTGCTGCATCAGTTCTCATAATGCATGAAGGATCACTCCTTCAGCCTATGTGAGAAGAAAGGAGAATCTTCCCATCTGTGTTTTGAGTTCCTCAGCAGCCACACTTCTCCCGGTGTCCCCCTTCTGGTGGCCTGGTCTCCAGGTGCACTGCGTCAGGTTCTGGCTGTTCAGGTGCCCTGCGCTTTTGGTGACAAAAGCAGGAGAGAAAACATGGTGAGTGGCCTTATGGTTGATGCAAATTAAAAGAGGGTAGGAAATAAAATGCCACAAGGAATTGTGGTCTGCCCAGCATCTTAATATCTAGGTTGTAAGCCTTGAAAATCAGAGTGAGAGCACCCTGGTTTCTTACATTCTTCAGCACAGCCCGTATGGCCCACTCAAACACCTCCTGGACATTGGTAGCTTCCTTGGCACTGGCTTCGAAATATTTGGCGTCATGAAGCTTGCTCCACAGTTCGGCTTCCTCTGACGAGACCTGGACACAAATGGTGTGGGCATGCTTTGATCTCTTCCCAGGCCTTGTCAGGGAGGATCAGGTAATACCATGAGAACTAACAGTGCTTTTAGTGTATACCATGAATGCAAATTGTCCAGATGACTTAGTTTTCCCCCAAATAATAAATTCTACCTCTGTCCCACAGCAGTGGCTATGACATTGCTCACAGTCCACCCTCTGCGGTGCTTACCTGCTGCCAGCAAGAGGTTCTCCCTCAACCCCTTGCCCTAACTACATCTCCCTTATGGGGGCCGGGTGCTGTAAATAACACAGAATTGCTTTCCCGACCTATTACCTCATGATTCTCTAGGTCAGTCTTGTTCCCAATGACTGCGATGGGGAAAGTGGGTTCTTCCTCTGGCTCAATCTGCAACAAGAGCTGTTTGTGCCACTTATCCAGGGCCTGGAAAGAGCTGGCAGAGGTGACATCAAAGACAAGGAGGCAGCAATCGGACCCCCGGTACAAGGCAGTTCCCAGTGATTGAAATCTTTCTGTGCCAGCCGTGTCCCAGATCTGAGGGCATGAAAAGAGGCAAGAGGCTGACTTCTCTGCTTTTTAAGCTTTTGTGACACTATAGTTCCTTTCATGTTCCAAATATTTCTTTTTGTTGCTTTGGGAAGTTAGGGGGGGCTCCCACCCCTGATGTTGTTCTTCCAAAGTTTCTTAATGGCTGCAATGAATAGTATTAAAGTTACTAGTTATCTTTAAAAAAAACATTCAGTTTTTCTTTCAGCATTAACATGCTGAAGTTAAAAGGAAGTTTTCAAAATGGCTAAGATCCTACTGAACACTGGCAAAGTTCCCCCCCCCCATACCAAAAGCTTCCAGTACAGTAATTTCACATCACCTGCTGCAGCCATTGCCATCAATGCAACATCGAGTCACACTTGTATTGGATGCCCCTTTGTGAGTGGCAAAAATAACCAACTACAGTACTTGTGCTATTAGACCACTATGTGAATGATCTGGTACAACGAACTGGTTAATACAAAGGAAAATAATTCTTCCCCACAGTCCCTCCAGATAACAAATGATGGCGACATCAATTGGAAACAAGTCAATCTTTTTTTAAAAAAAAATCCCATCTAGGAGTAGAGAAATGTCAACCTGGAACACAAAACAAGCATTGGAGTCAAGCAGTCTTCTCAGGAGAAAGTGTTCTAGGGAACAGTCATAAGTCTGGGTGTAAAATACCTATGAGATTTTGGAAACAATATATCAAGGAAAGCTATGTGTGTCATGGTGGTAGCACAGCACTCTGTAAGCTAGTCTTCTACCTTCAGGAGTAGAGAAAGATGCTGCCTCCACTACCAGGGTTGGCAGAGGAGGAGGTGAAAGAAGAGGAAGATTTAAGTTGGTCTGGGTATTAGGTCAGGGACAGAAGAGCAGTGGTTCCCAACCTTGGGTGGTCCATATGTTTTTAGACTAAAACTCCCAGATGCCTTCACCACTAGCTGTGCTGGGCCAGGATTTTGGGAGTTGTGGTCCAGAACTGGGGGACCAGTGGAGAACCCCTGGGCTGGATGGAGGGTGTAGCTTCTGTTGGGCCTACCTGTACCGTCAGAGTCTGTCCATCTATGTGTACTTGTTTGCTGAGGAAGTCAGCCCCAATGGTGGCTCTGTAGCGGCTGCTGAAGCGATTATTAACGTACTGGTTCATCAGGGCAGACTTGCCCACCCTGTGGGGAAAGGAACAGGGTTGATAACCGGTCTTGAAAGCTGCATGCAACCTCCCACCTAGCACAGGGTTGTTTCTTTCTGGGGTGAGAAAAAGAAGCCTCTCTGGTGTTTCTCAGGTTTCTGAACTGCCTTTTATAGTTGACTTTGTGATTCTCGTTACTGCTTGTTATAATTGCCCATTAAAAGGTCCCAGAAGGCACAATGTTCCTCTGTATATCAGCTGCCAGACAACAGAAGTTGGGCGGCTGTTGCCCTCATGTCCTGTTTGTGGGTTCTAACCAGTCACCATGGGAACAGGACTGCTGGAATAGGGAAGGCCTTTGGTCTCATCTAGTACAGCTTTTCTGAGAAATCCTAGCTTGCACTTAAGGTTTTCAAAAGTACCTTAGCCTTTGCTGTAGTTGGTAGAGCTTTGCAAGAGTCCAGTTAATGGCCAGTGAAACTCATCAGCCACAAGCGTCCTGGACGGTGGTCCCCAACTGTGGGGCTCTAGATATCCCTGAACTACAGCTAAAATCTGGACCACCAGCTATTCTGGTTGGGGAGTCTACCAGATGAAGTCCAGTAACATCTGGAGCCTGACTAGGGGAACCGCTTGGCTGAGTTGCGTATGATTTAACCAAGTCATAACAGTCTTTAGCCGAAATGAAATAAATGTTCCCCTCAACAAACCAGGAATCCTATCCTTTAACAGTACCCAGGTGTTTGAAAGAGCTTTGCAGTAATGACTGTGTCACTTAAGCGCCTGAGGCAATATGCCGGTCAGTACCAGGTGCCACAGTGAGGAAGAAGAGGCCACACTCAACCGGCCTTTGGGTGGATCTAGCCCAGGAATCCCTGCTCTAGAATAGTCTGAATTTCCATCTGATTAAAACTGGAAACTCTGTCCAAAGCAAACGATGGATGGGTGAAAATACCCAGGTTCAAGCACTGCTATCTTAAGAAAGTATTTCCCTGTTTTAAAAGTTTGCAGAGCACACTTTTCCACATCACAGTACAGTACTTGCAGTATAATCTATCTATCTTCCTTTTTAAATATATCTCTCAAAGAAAACTGTCCTGCCCACATTTTACCCTGTTGGATAGGTTCAGAATGTAAACTTATATCAGCATCTTGGAGAACACATGGGAAAAAGCGAAGTTAATACCGGCATTGCTTTGCAACAGTCTAAAAAGGCTAAACCCTCTTCCTTAAAATGTTTGCTTTTAGAGGGGCTCCTCCCTCAGCCTTTATCTATCAGTCATCATCACTTGTCCTTCCAACACCCAGTTTTCTGCAGCCTCTTCGTGCGGCCCCCCCCGTCGGAACTGCTCGCATCGTACCTGCCGCCGCCCCCCTCCCCGCACTTGGTTGCATCACCCCCTAAGACTTCCGTGGCCAAACTTGTCCGGCCCGGGACCCGCGCCGGTCTCTGCCTTCAGGGGTCGGGGTGGGGGTGGGGGGGTGTCAGGTGGGCGCATGGCATAGTGGGCGTGGCCAACAACCTGCCTTCCCCCCCTCCCCTTTCCTCAATCCGCTTCTTCTTCTGTCGGACTTTCCACCGCCTCCAGCGGCGCTTTCCTCCCTCCCCGCTTCCTTGACACCTGGCTCTCCGCAACGGGGGAGGGACCCCACCAGTGCTCCCCCTCCCTCCCTCCTCGGTCGACGCTCTTCCTCTCTGCCCCCCCCCACCATCACCCCTCCATACACCTCCCAAGTTCTGCCGGAGAGCCCAGAGGCTCCCCGCTTCCCCCCTCCTCCTATTCCCCGGGCGGAGCTGCCTGCCGGCTGCCTGGAGGTGCCCGGAGGCGTCCCACCCACTGAGCAAACACCGGCAAGGCTGAACTTCCCCCAGACGGGCGCGACGGCCGGGCTTTTCCTGGCTCCTCTCCGTAATAACCAACGCCGTGGACTTACCCTGAATTCCCAGTCAGGAGGATTTTGAGGTGTGAACGTCTGAACATGGGGCGCCTCCGCCAGAACCTGGAAAGAGAGTGTCTGAGAGGACAAGCACGGTCTTGTTTCCCTCCCCCGCCCTCATCCTCGGTGGGCCACCTGCTAGTCTCCCCTTGGCCCGGTAGGACCCTCTCCCTCCCCACCCGCCGGCGACCCACCACCCCACCGAGGAAGCGGGGAGGTGCTCCTTGTCTAGGGCTCTCTGCCCGCATCTTTTGTCGGGGGTGGGGGGGGGAGAAAGAGAGGTGTCACCTGCTCCTCTCCTGCCTCACCGGCTGCCCACACTCGGTGGGTGGGGTACCTTTGTTCGTGGGTCCCCGGTTAACTTTTCCTGCCGGGAAATTGACACCCTTCAGAAAGAGGAGGGGGCTGGTGTCTCCGTGAAGGGACTTCTCGCAGAAGAGAAAGTGGTTACGCGACCGTGAGAACGGCGGCCAGAATGAAGAGCAGCCCCGACCCGCCTCTGCTCCGTCGGGTCCCTGGAGTTGGCTGGCGAGCGAGCCCGGTGGCTGGCTGGCTTTCCCCTCTGCCTGCTGGGGGACCAGTGCATTCCTGCCTGGTTTCTCGGGGCAGCTCTGGCGGGCTTGAAGCGAGAAGGCAGGCAGGCAGGCGAGCCGGGCCGGGCCGGCGGGTTGGAAGGCAGGAGGAGGAGGAGGAGAAGGAATTGGGTGGGCCTTTTTACTGTTTGCTAATCCGAGGAGGAGGAGGAGGAGGAAGGGAATATAAAAAAGAAAGGAGAGCGAGAGCGACGCTGCAGTCACAATCCTGGCCGGATCAAGAATTAGTGACACGATGGCCAGGCCTTAGCCCCGGTTCTTCTTTGCAGAACTGATGCAATCGCAAATTTAAAAGAGAAACCAGGAATGTGCAGAGTGTAGTTGGGTTGGGCAACATGAAGGAGCAGCAAAGGGTTAGTTATTTCATTTATCGTTACTGAGAACCAGAGAGATACAATGTGTGGCTTGCAGGACTGTAAATCTTACAGCCTTCCGGCTGGGAAGATGAGAGGGAAATAGGACACAATAAATGTGGGGGAAATGGCCATGGCGGGTAGCTACCTAGGAGGGCAGGTACTTATTTCATCAAATCTGGGGGGCAAAACTGAAGTATTGTGGGAAATGGAGTTATTTAGCAGATAGATGAGACTTTACATTTTAAAATGCCATGGAATGAAATTGCTACAATATAGTACAGATCTTGTAGTATGGTTCTATTTAATGCTTCTAACATCTCTAATTCCTTTTTAAAAGATCAGTTCCTTGTCTGGACAAGGATAGTATCACTGTAGTAATCATGCTACATGTCAAAGCAGGTCTGCAGTTGAACATTAAGACAGCGAAAAAGATCACAGAAGAACTACAGAACTTTTACTCCAGCACTGAAGAATTGAAATAGTTAACAGAGTTTGGATACCTTGGTTCAATTATCAATCCAAAGGGAGATTTTTTGCCAAGAAATCAGAAGAAGATTGGGACTAGAAAGGGCAGCAATGGAGGAACTAGAAAGGATCATAAAGTGTAAGGATGTGTCACTGGAGACCAAGACTAAGATCATCCACACTCTTGTATTCCTGATCACCCTATATGGGTGTGAGAGCTGAGAAGAAGAAAAAATGGTTCTTTTGAAATGTGGTGCTGGAGAACAGCTTTGCGGACAATCTGGACTGCCAAAAAGACAAAAAAGTGGGTCCTAGGTCCAATCAAACCAGAATGAACTCTGGAGGCAAAAATGAGCAACATAGAAAATTTACAAACAAAATTTCTCCACAATCTACTACTTTTTACCAAGAAAACCCAGAAAAGGGTCACTATGGGCCATTTGACTTGAGGCCACATCATTATCAATACAGTAGTTTTTTCCAGGCATGTGAGATACTCAAGAAGTGGTTTAGCAATTGTCCCACACTCCTCCCACGCTCCCTCAGTTTCCTGCACTGAGTAGGAATTTGAACGCAAGCATCCTCTGCGAACTATAAATGTAGAAATCCTCCCTTCCACGCTACCGAAACAGGCATAAAATGCACTTTTGCTCTGTAACCAAGCGAGTCGCTACCAGTCCTTGTCTATTGATCGCTGAACAAAATTACAGCTATTGCGAATTTTTTTTTAAGTTGCAGGAGAGATTGGCAAATCAGGGTCTTTTCCTCTCCACGTGGGAGGATGGGCTGGACTAGTATCAGGTGACTGGGCCAAATCATATGACCACCCGTGCCTTCATTAGCCCTGAAACTTGGGCTAGATTGTGCAAAACGGAGGGAAGAAGGGAAACGTTTGTGGGCGTAGGTCTTTCCGCTCCCCTCCCGCCAGCACAAAGCAATCCTCGCTGAGCTTGCAATCCCCTGGCGCACGAATGCTGGTTTCCCAGGCATATTATTAATGATCCAGGCTGCTATCTGTGGGGCTTGGTCCCTCCCCTGCTCGCGGGCTCCTATCCCGGAGAGGGCTGACACAGCGTTCACGAAGCTTTCTCCACCCCCCCATTCCCATGATCACATCTTAGTCTGTTTGTGCCGGAGAAACAGCAAGGATGGATTTCCAAGTACTGCGGGATTGGCATGAAAAGTTTTCCCAAGAGCTGGACACGGTGATGGAATTCTGGCTACGGCATTCCCACGACGAAGAATATGGGTTATCAATCTACCTACCTATTCTTTCTCTCTCCTCCCCGTCTCCCCCCTCCCCGCTTTCATTTAGTCACATAACATACCATTCCACCCTTTGCCTCAGAGGCCTCGGGTGGGTGCTGTGGGGGCGGGGTTGGATACAGAATTCCTTCATTGCAGACCCCCCCCGCCCCACTACACAGCACTGCCACTCTTTGAGGGGGCTGGGGGTTTTTGTGTTGTATCCTGATGTGTACCCTTAAGCAAAAATAACCTAAATAAAGGGTAGCCCTTCCAAGAGACATGGGCAAACACAGAATGCCAAAAGCTGGCCTCTGCTGGATCTGGAGGCAAACAAATCTATGCTTTTTAGCTAACAGGAATGTACAGTATGTGCCACCAGGAAGTTCCCTCCCCGCCTCCCCGCCACAAGTCCCACTGGAGTGAATGGGAGGTCTCTGTGAGCTGTTGCTGCTCTTCTCATATGCTCTCCTTTCATTTGTGTAGGAGGCTTGAAAGAGAATTGGCCCATAGAGTTCAATCAATTATTTTTAGTTGTGTTCTTTGCCATTTACCTCGCAATGACAACACATTGCAGCCCCTTAACATTTAACCCAAAGAAGAGTCTCTTATGCTGATCAAGGGGGGCTGTGCATTATCATCCTTGTTTCCCCCCCCAAAGGTAGAGGTGGGTGGGAAGAGAAGCATAGACTCTGCTATTGTTTCTAAACACCAGGCAGCCGGGGGGGGGGAGGGGAGTGCCCTAGCTGCCCCAGTTAACCAGCCTGCTTTGGCACCAGGTCCATCTGTCTCCCTTAACAGCACTCAGCATCTGTCCCATGGCACCACAACTTTGCTCTGTCTTATGTCATTGGGCCAAGCTGGCTGCCTACATTCAACACACCACCCTCTTCCAAGCTGGGAGCAGACACTAGCTCCTGTCTCCAATGTCTACCCCCCCCAAGTACTAGTTCCCCTTTTTAATCAGTTGCTCTTCTCCTCTGGCTCTTCTACATTTTCCTCTAAAGAGATTTATATCTGCCTGTTGTCTTTTTCTCCAGGGGATTCTTTACATGTCTAGGCCAGGATGGGAAAATTTATGATGACCTGAAATATGTCTGGTTGCAAGGGCGTCAGGTGAGGCTGCTTAGGAACTGTGCATGGATCCAGGTTTTATTTTTGTTATTAGCCCCATTACATAGTTAACAAAATCTGAGGCTGGCAAGGGATTCTTAATTGGTCAGGCAGATTTTTTTTCCAGAGCAATCCAAGTCTTCATAGAAACCTGGGTGCGCTTGGAGCTGGCCTGTGGCGTCCTTTTCTGTTCTGCTGCAGCAGCCTTGGAATGAGTGAAGTGAACGGGTGATCGAAGCTCACCTGAGCCTAAGCAGAATGCTGGTCCTTCAACTCTGTAGAAATCCACCCAGCCTGCCTAGGATGATGGAAAGGGCTTGCATAGAGGAGGACTCCCAAGCACATTTGAGTTCTGTCATTTATGTTTATAAAGAAATTAAATGATTAATGAAATTGTTTAGATATTCACAGGGCAGGGTAGTGGATTCTGATGAGGAGACGAATGCCCTCACTGAATCCTACTTAGAGCCTCTTCCTCACTACTGTGTTCTTGATCTACAACAGCGGTTCCCAACCTTGGGTGACCCAGGTGCTCTTGTACTACAACTCCCAGAAACCTCGGCCAGTTGCACACCTAATGGTGAAGGCTTCTGGGAGTTGTAGTCCATGAATCCCTGGCTTACCCAAGGTTGGAAAACACTATTCTACAAGAAAAGAAAAACCAAGGCTATGGCCAATGGTTTATGGAGCCTGTGATGGGTGGGGCACAGCCAAAACTGGTTATAGTATACAGGAGGAAACTATATCATCATGGAGTCCTGGAATGGGAAAGCTGGAGCCCTGTCATGCAGAGTAATGGGATATGGTGTGGAACAAAGTTCTATACAATCATGCAGAATTTGCCCCCTGTAGGCTTAGTCTTCACCTGCCCTTGCCTAAGGAACCTTGATTGGTTCTTCCAGTCAAGGGCCAACAGCCTTTCAAAAGGAAACGATTCTTCATGCCTGGTTTAAGTAACTAAAGATGTTCCGGGTGAGCTTTTAAAGGCCTTTTTGAGCACCTCAGATTCTTTCCTTAACAGGTATGGACGTACAGTCGATTGTATCGAAAAGTGCCAAGGTTCAGGCGGCCTGAACTTCTCCAGGCAGCTCAAGCAGGTAATTCTGCCTTATGTCAGTGAAGGATGACATTTGAAGATAAAGGCAAGGGGAAGATAATAGTTAAAGTGATATTTGTTGAAGAGGTTATAGAGAAAATCCAAAAGGTTCTAATGCTTTTGAATGACTATGGGACTGAAGGGACTGAGCCCAGAAAATGAATCATAATCATTTGCTTTGTCCTGTTGACTAACTGGGTTATCTTTATAACTACTGTGTAATGCAAGAATGCCCTAATTCTACATACACCATTGCTCAGAGTGATTGGGGTCTCTGGGGGTTGAGGGCCCCAAAGATCTACAAAACCAAAAGTTACCCACCCCCATTGCTGTAAGGTATGGGATTCTTCTGGAGGCTGAGCTAAAGCAGAAAGACAAACCCTTAAGGCACCAGTTTTAGAAGCGGTAGGCACTGTGTTCATAGCAGAGCAGGGGACTTCCTGGTTCACAGCTCAGTCTCTGGACAACAACACTGAGGTAGCTCTAAGTGACGAGTCCATGAAGGATTCAGTAAAAAAATACAGTACATACGTCTATGTGGGGAAGGGATGATCTGTGTCCACAGACTGCTGATAGGATAGTGAAACCTGGGTAGCAAAACCTGCCTCCAACTCGCCGTCTTTTCCCGAGGTGGGGAGTTCCTGCTGCAACATGCGCGAGTGGCCCCCCCTTCCCAGAAGTGTGCCTTTGTTTTGACTCGTGACGGACGCCCTGTGAAAATCCAGCGCACCATTTTCAGTGAGTGCTTCTATGTCCTTGGGCTCGATGAGCTTGGACGAGCAACAGGAGAAACCCGCTACCAGGTAAGGCCAGAGGAGTGGCAGAGAGGCGCCCCTGCTCATTTGTGTCCCACTAGGCCCTTCGGTGTATATGGAAACGCAAGTCTTTTAACCCTGTTTATCCTCCCTTTTTGTGGTTATTAGGTCCGAAATGCCTTTCCCCAAAGCTATGGCACATCTCCTAGCACATGCTGACAAAACACATGAGTAGGGTTAGGGCAAAGTGGAGGGATTGTTCATTACCTCATGCTGCTATGCTTAAGGATGGCCTTCTTGTCTCTATGGAGACAGGGGTTCTGTTGATGGAACTAGGTGAAGAATAACCACGATCCATCTGGGAAGTGGCTCAGCCTGCTCATGTGCACCGTTGGCTTTTGTCCAAAGTCGTGGCTGGTACAGGGTGCTATGGGGCTTGCTGATTATGTCCCCACTGGGCTCGTGTCTGGGACACTGGAATCCAGTTTTGCAGCCATTTGTGCGTGTTTTTGTGTCACTGGCTTATCTGGTCAGCAATTGGCCTTATTATTATTATTATTATATTTTTTTTGTGGGGAAGAGTACATCACTTAGCAGCTGCTTACGAGCTGTGCTGCAACCCTCTTTCACAGTTTGGAAAACGTAGGGTGGCTGATGTACAGACAACTCTCTCTCACTCACTCACTCACTCACTCACTCACTCACTCACTCACTCACTCACTCACTCACTCACTCACTCACTCACTCACTCACACACACAAGGGGCCAGAAACACTAGTTGTGAACAAAAGAGCAGGATTCAGGCTTGCTGAGCTAAGTCCCTGTCTCACAACCCTAGAGAGTGGGGAGGGTGACCCAGGAGTACAAGGCACCTCTGTAGGTTTTGAGGGACATATCAAGGACTCCTGGGATGTAATAGTGTTCATTTTGGCAGAAAGAGGCCCTGACCATGATGGAAGCCATTGTGCGCTGGGTGAGGGAGGACCCCACTGAACTGGGTCGTCCACAGTTGGCGGGCACGATCCCACATGACTCGATGGCTGTTCCTATGATGCTCCTGAACCTGGTGGACCAGCTGTCAGAAGGAGACGCAGAGGCTGCAGCCCGATTCAGCGAGCTGGGGAGCTGGTCTGCCCAGCAAATACTCATGCATGTTCAGGTATCCCCTATCCCAACTTCTGCAGTCTTCTTTGCCCACCATTTAAGCTGAAATGTAAGGGACACCCCCTTGTTTCCCCACAGAGAAATGGTACTGCTGTTTTGGAGAATGTCTCCGAGGATGGCAAAGAGCTGCCAGGATGTCTTGGAAGACAGCAGAACCCTGGTAAGAAGGGAGACCCCCAAAGTCCCACCTTCAGTCCCCGAAGTCTGGACAGAAGGCTAGGGAAAGCTCCTCTTTAAAACCTTAGAAATGTGTTGCCAGTCTGTGGCTGAAACAGAGCTAGAGAACCACTCGCCTCCTTCAGTGTAAGGAAACTTCCTATTTTCCTTTGATATGAGAGCCAGGATGCTTTTGGAGTCGGTTTGGTGGGTAATGTCCAAGGACTGAGTGGGATGGGTGGGAAGAGGGTGCCGGGGAACCATCACCATCCAATCTATTGCCACCACTGCTCCTGCTGTTGTTACGTGCCACATGGTAACCCTGTTGGTTGTATGCTTTTCTTGTGCAGTAAGTTGATAGAGGATTTTCTTGCTCGGAGCTTTGCAAACCAACAGGCGAAAAGGCTGATTTGCCTTCAGGAAGTCACAAGAAGAGAGGAAAAATCACCATACTTTGGTGGTCTGAACATGAACGTTGTTGTTGGCAGCAGCAGCAGAGGGACAGCAGGCGCAGAGGTTGCCTGTGGTCCGTTCCTCCTCTAAATGGAAATGGGTTTAGAATTTTAGGCACTTGCGTATCCACAGGTGTTTGACGCAAATGCAGAATCTTGTATCTTGCTGAGGAATTTAGCAACAGGGGAATCTCTTGAACTCTGATCTTTAACAAATGAGTTTCTCTTCCATTCAGCTTGATTATATGCCTCCTGAATCTACAGTGAGGATTCCTGAACAAAATGATAACACAGCTGATGCACCCATTGCAAAGAATGAAGTGTTAGAACTCTGCACTACTTTTACAGTATGTAGGGATGATATTGCTGAATGCTACTCAAGGCAGCATCTCAGGCTTATGTTTTCCCATTCTTGTTCATTTAGGATGTGCTAGGACTCTTTTTATGGGACGTGGTGGTGCTGTGGGCTAAACCGCAGAAGTCTTTGTATGCTGCAGGGTCAGAAGACCAGCAGTTGTAAGATCAAATCCACGCGAGGGAGTGAGCTCCTGTCGCTTTGTCCCAGCTCCTCACCAACCTAGCAGTTCGAAAGCATGCAGTCCAGGATGGTGTTGTCTAGAATTCTTACTCCTTTGTCTTGCGTGATGTGTAGATTGGCTCCGAACATCTTTGCACAGCTCCTTTCTCAACCAGGCCTCTATGCTCCATCTGTTCCAAGACACAATGGCCTTTCTTTCATGCACATACATCTGATATCAAAGAAAAACTAAATTCCGGCTTCTTGGGTGTGTGTGTGTGTGGAATCAGCATCCTGAACCAGAATACAGAATGTGTTCAAGAACAGAAGAGATATACTGTAGGCATGTTAATTCTTCTAACAGATGTTCAGGTTTTCTCACCTGGATCCTATTCCCCTGCTTATTTCATCATATGCCGCATGAAATAAGTTCTCCAGAGTGAGGAACTGGGTGCAGTTTGAAGTAAAAGCTGATGGTTCATCTGAGATGTTTTGTCCATTCTGTTTTTCCTCTAAGGTCATGCCCTTGAAGCAGGCTGGTTCCTGCTCCGCTATGCCCAGCGCCAGCATGACCCAGCCCTTCTGTCTCAGACGGTGGAGACGTTTGTGAAGCAGCCGTTCTATTCAGGCTGGGACCCTGAACATGGGGGACTCTTTGCATTCCAGGATGTGGACAGGTTCTGCCCCACACAGGTATGGTAGGTCTTAAACCCCATAGCCCACTCATATCGTGATTTTGGCTATCTTTCTCAATCTCCTCCCCCCCTCCTTCTACTAGAATTCCTGTTCATTTTGTTCCTTTACTCTTTTCTTCAGCTAGAGTGCAAAATGAAGCTTTGGTGGCCCCACACAGAGGCCATGATCGCCTTCTTGATGGCTTTTGCAGACACTCAAGACCAAGAACTCCTAGAGCTATTTGACCAAGTGGCTAAGTACAGTTTTGGCAAGGTGTGTTTGAAAGACAGGCCACTGGGGATTGTTTGTGGTGTCTGTCTAAGCTGGACAGGGATGCTGTTCTGGTAGGGCGGTCTTATTGGGGGGTGAGGATGCCCGGTGCAAATAGGGGAAGGAGCTACATGCATCTCCTGTATCTCTTTTTGTGTGAAGCCCTTGGCAAGCCTCTAGAATGGCCGTGAGTAGCACTGCAACTTCCAGAGATTCTGGGGAGTCAAGTAGGCAACACCTTCCTCCTCCCCACTGTTGGAAGTTGTCTGGCCCTGGGCTACAGACATACTGATTTGCTAATGGCCATTCGGTGAGCATTGACTTCCCCTCTGACAGCTTGCCTTTCACATCATGCTGGGCCCGTGGTTCCTTTGTCCCTTCCATGTGGATCATCTTGAATTCAGATGCATGCACTGTTTCACCATCTGGTTTGGTGCTTCTTAGTTCCGTGACCCAGACACAGGCGAGTGGTTTGGCTATCTGACCCAGGAAGGCAAGGTGGCTCTCACAATCAAAGGAGGACCATTTAAAGGTAAAAAGAAAAGGACACTAGGGAAAGGGTGGCATGATTCTGATAGTAGGGAAGGGGGAAGCAGCCAGAATAGGACTCCTGCCTCTGTTTTAATTAGCAAGCCATACTTTTAAAAGTTGGTTATTTGTAATAAAGGTCACGATTATTTTCACAGAGGCAGGTACACCTCTTATCTGATGGTGTATGATACATTTCACCTTCTTTAAAGTAAAGAAAGTATGTGCTCCCCCAAATGATTTTAGAAAATCTTACACAAGTAACTAATGAAGAGTTAATTGAATGTATAATAATTATGATGTGCTATCATGTGAACTCTGACTTACAGTGATCATGGAATTCTCTATTTATAAAATACTTAGAAGTGGTTTACCTGTCCTCTTGTCTTAAGCCACTCTGGGACTGTGCAGCTTGCCCAGGCTGCATAGGTGGCTGGGATAATAACCCCGTTGGCTCCCCACACACCTCACTCCAGGTGATCTTGGGTGTCCTCCCCCCCCCCCAAGACACAGGAAGGATTCCAACTCCCAACCCCCAGGGCTTCCAATTAATAAGCTGTACCAGCTCATGGATTCATAATAACCAACTGTTACATTAAATAATAAATAATACTTTAGAACTGCAGAGCTGGAAGAGACCCTATGGATCAGTGAGTCCAGCTGCTGGCAAAGAGGCACATAAGAGAATTGAACCCCCAACCTCTGGCTCCACAACCAGATACGTTGACCACTGAGCTATCCAGCAGTAAAGGCCACTGTCTGGCATCTTACAGACGAGAGACTCAATTCCTTTCACTCAATCAAAGAGGCGTTAACAGATTAACACTAAATGGAGAACCACAGCACAGTGTTGGTCTCTAGATAAATATAAATATGTATATTTTAATTGTATTTTAATTGTTTTATCTTTTTTATTGTATTTTAATAGTTGTAAACCACCCAGAGACCTTTGGGTAGTGTGGGCAGCATAAAAGTTAAATAAATAAATAAATAAGACAGTATCTGAATGGAAATCTAAATTTGTTCCCCCCACATCCTGTCCACATGAACATAGAGCAAAATTCTCCCAGTACAAGCTCACTTCTGAGCAAGGGGTGTCTTGGGATTATATCCTGGATCTGCTCTTCAAAATGGCCACCTCACTTTGCCTCATCATAGAACTGCCACTGAATCTTTGCTCACAATGTTTCGACATACAGCCCATAATAGGTGAATGCCCCAGAATGGGATACAGCGCTGTGGTTAGATGGTGAGGTAAAGTAGGGGTGGTGGTCTGTGGCCCTACAGCTCATCTTGAGCTACAACAATACTTGTGTAATTCCTGATAACTGGCCATGCTGGTGGATTTGATGGGAGCCAGAGTCCAACCAACCACAGGTTGTCCACTCTTGAGGTAAATGTATGTGCTTGTGAGTGACAATCCCATCATTCTGTTCCTCACTCTGAACCTCCCCTTTTCTCATTGCAGGTTGTTTCCATGTCCCTCGTGCTCTTTATATGTGTGAGGAAATTCTAGAGTCACTCATAAAGAAGATTGAAACTACTGGAGAGTCATAAAATAATTGAGTTGGAAGGGGCCATCAAGTCCAACCCCCTGCTGAAGAAATGGAATGAAATATGGATCTTAGCTCCTACCTTGCTTTTTTTCTGCTTCCACTCCAGATACACTCCTGTCCAATCATGATTGTTAAAAATTATGTGCTGCCAAGTTGATTCTGACTTATAGCAATCCTTTCCAGCGTTTTTCTTGGTATAAAGGTTTCCCCTCCTTCTGGAGATGTCAGAGGACTCAGCTTACCTAGGGCCACATATGTGGCAAGGCAAATAACCTCCTCAGCCACACATGCTCTGGCTGATCTTAGGGATCCATCTCCCTGGAGGCCAAGTGGGGGTTCAAACTTCTGGCTCCTGGCTTTACAGCCAGAGGCTCCAGCCTACGGAGTTGTATCAGATACTCCAATCAGAGTGGAAAGTTTCTCATGCCAGATTCCAACAAGAGTCACCCAGTAATCCTGATCAGAGTTGATTTGGCACAGCCATTGTGGTCAAACCTACTGCATTACTATGAGGTCCTGGCTGAGCACATCCTATTTCACAGCTTATAGAAAGCAGCCAGACAGATGAAACCATTTGGGGTGTGTGTGTGTGTGGAAGAGTTTTCTTCCTTGCCCCTGTTCTGTCCCTCGTAGTTGTTTGCTGACTAGGTGATGTTTTGGCACCTGCACTGGATCTGAGCATTAGAGAAAAAATAAGCATAGTAAATTCTGAATGAAAAACCCAATAATTTTAATGTGTGTCTCCTTTTGATGCTTTTCCACACTGCTAGGCATGGCAGTGAAACGTTCTGACAGAGGCTTTATTTCACGGAGAGGGTGACAACAGAGGCATTTAGCCTGCTGTTTGATCCACTGTGGGGATGGGTGTTTCTCTCTTTTGCAGGTAATCAGATAACATGATTGCTAAAGTAAACCAGTCTGCCCCCCAAAGAATCCCTAACTGCATCTTCCTGGGTTCCTGTCAGGGACTACTATTTTTTAAGATGTGGGTAGGATTGCTTTGTTTTGGTTCATTTCAAAGAATTGCCATCACTGGAATCGAACAGAAGTGGCGCTTCCTGCTTTTAATTTCCCAGCTGGTTTTAATGTCTCAATATTATTAGTGGCTTAAACAGATAGTTTAACAATTAATGGTATTGGGAAACAGAAAAATTAAAAACTTCCTCTGCTCCTCCTTGGAGAAGTAGGAGGAAGCAAAGTTGTTGGTTTTTAAGTCAGTGAGGGCAGCACTAATGCAGTCTACCTTTTAGAGAAAAAATAAAACTATTTTTTTTTTCTCCTGGGAGCAAGGAGGGGGATATTTTTTTCCTTTGGTTTTCTTTTCTTAAAGGAGGTGGACCAAATATTATCACGCGAGGTCTGTACAGGGGCAGATCTACCATGAAACTAATGAAGCTTCAGCTCCATCTCCGCTAATCCTGGAGGGCCACCAGAAGTGTCTTTAGTCTTCATTTTTTTTATTGGATGAAGACAGCTGTGGCTACCCAAACTTTGTTGCTGGTTGTGGAGATGCCCTTATAACAGTCCAAGCTTCAGGGCCCCAAAAATGTGGATCCACCACTGGGTGTGCATGTCATGTAGATGCAAAATTTGCATCATATGCCATATTAGATCTCTACCTGACATTAAGCAACCCTATTTAGCCTGCACTGGCTCACACCAAATGAGCTATGTAGCCAAGCCCTGAGTTGGCAAAGCTCTGTCGGTACTACACCAGCTCAGCCTGCAAGCTGAAGCTCACATGACAGAATGAGTGCTTCACACCAATACATCGTTTGCTGTTTAAAGTGCCTTTTCTTTAACCTGTCCCTCTGATATGGCTGAGCCGAAATGCAGGAGCCCATTTCCACAGAGATGGGCAGAGCAGTCCTGTGTCATGGAACAGTAACATCTGGACAGCCACATGGTCTGTCGCCCTGTCCTGCTTTTTAGGCAGGGAGCAAAGGTTTGCAACCGGGATTGCAACCAACTACACCAGCCCTCCATGTTGGCTGGGCTGCCTAGTGCTCATGAAACCTGCAGTCTAACAATAGCTGGAGAACCACAACTGCCCTCCTTGTCGCATTTCCACTGAAATGGAGGAATAGGAATAGCTGTGGGAGAGGGAAACCCAATGGGGCGACAGCCTCAGTGGGCCAGCTCTAGCAGTCTCCTGTATCCCCCCATTCCCATTATGGATGGCACCAGTAAGAATGCTTCTCTCAGTACACAGTCACAAAGATGCTGGTGACAGAAAACCACCTGCAGAGAGGCAGGAAGGATCCAGCCACTGGAAATCCTGCCTAGAGCAAGTTAAGTCCTTTCCCACCATTGATCCCCATCCACTCCTCCTCTGCTAGCTGCTGGACTTCAAAGAGAAGGACGTTGTTGAGAACTGTACCCTCCACAGCTCCGTTGGCTGAAGGCCTCTTTGGGAGAAGGGCTTGCAATTCCCTGAAAGATGGGGGTGGAGGTCCTTTGGGGAGAGTCGAGTGCTGGGGATTCAGCCCCTACCCAGACCTTTGCACATCTGGCAAGCCACAACGTGTCACGTCTTGAGGCAGAAAAGAAAGAGGTGCTTTGGACTCCAGCTCCTCAGAGCAGCTGTCTGCTGGTTCAGCCACCGCAGCAGCAGCAGTCAGGAAATGGAGGCATCATGGGTCTTTCAGCAGTCCACCACTGACAGGAGGACGCCCCAATTGATTACAGACACCACACTGCTTCCCGAAGGAGCCCTGGATAAATCGCGTAAGTTCAGGTTTGAATCTAGAAGATGAGCTGGAAAAGGCCCTGTGAGGGGAAGTCGAAGCCAAAGGATAGGCCCGCACCCCCCCCCCCCCGCAAGCATTGCCTCACAACTGAGAGCCTCCAAATGCTCGTGGGCGGCAACTCCCATCAGGCTCAGCCAGTGGCGATGAACGATGGCTCAGGCCTAAACAGATAGTTTAACAATTAATGATATTGGGAAACAGGAAAATTAAAAACTTCCTCTGCTCCTCCTTGGAGAAGTAGGAGGAAGCAAAGTTGTTTTTTAAGTCAGTGAGGGCAGCACTGATGCAGTCTACCTTTCAGAGAAAAACTAAAACTAAAAAAAAAAATTAAAATTTTTCCCCTGGAAGCAGAGGGAGCAAGGAGGGGGATATTTTTTTCCTTTGGTTTTCTTTTCTTAAATGAGGTGGACCAAATATTATCACGCGAGGTCTGTACAGGGGCAGATCTACCATGAAACTAATGAAGCTTAAGCTCCATCACCGCTAATCTTGGAGGGCCACCAGAAGAGTCTTTAGTCTTCTTTTTTTTTTATTAATGGAAGAAGACAACTGTGGCTACCCAAACTCTGTTGCTGGTTGTGGAGATGCCCTTATAACAGTCCAAGCTTCAGGGCCCCAAAAATGTGGATCCACCACTGGGTGTGCATGTCATGTAGATGCAAAATTTGCATCATATGCCATATTAGATCTCTACCTGACATTAAGCAACCCTATTTAGCCTGCACTGGCTCACACCAAATGAGCTATGTAGCCAAGCCCTGAGTTGGCAAAGCTCTGTCGGTACTACACCAGCTCAGCCTGCAAGCTGAAGCTCACATGACAGAATGAGTGCTTCACACCAATACATCGTTTGCTGTTTAAAGTGCCTTTTCTTTAACCTGTCCCTCTGATATGGCTGAGCCGAAATGCAGGAGCCCATTTCCACAGAGATGGGCAGAGCAGTCCTGTGTCATGGAACAGTAACATCTGGACAGCCACATGGTCTGTCGCCCTGTCCTGCTTTTTAGGCAGGGGGCAAAAGTTTGCAACCGGGGTTGCAACCAACTACACCAGCCCTCCTCGTTGGCTGGGCTGCCTAGTGCTCATGAGACCTGCAGTCTAACAACAGCTGGGGAAGCACAACTGCCCTCCTTGTTACATTTCTACTGAAATGGAGGAGCAGGAATAGCTGTGGGAGAGGGACACCCAATGGGGCGACAGCCTCAGTGGGCCAGCTCTAGCAGTCTCCTGTATCCCCCCCCCATTCCCATTAAGGACGGCACCAGTGAGAATGCTTCTCTCAGTACACAATCACAAAGATGCTGATGACAGAAAACCACCTGCAGAGAGGCAGGGAGGATCCAGCCAGTGGAAATCCTGCCTAGAGCAAGTTAAGTCCTTTCCCACCATTGATCCCCATCCACTCCTCCTCTGCTAGCTGCTGGACTTCAAAGAGAAGGACGTTGTTGAGAACTGTACCCTCCACAGCTCCGTTGGCTGAAGGCCTCTTTGGGAGAAGGGCTTGCAATTCCCTGAAAGATGGGGGTGGAGGTCCTTTGGGGAGAGTCGAGTGCTGGGGATTGAGAGCTTTGCACAGCTGGCAAGCCACAACGTGTCACGTCTTGAGGCAGAAAAGAAAGAGGTACTTTGGACTCCAGCTCCTCAGACCAGCTGTCTGCTGGGTCAGCCACCGCAGCAGCAGCAGCAGCAGCAGTCAGGAAATGGAGGCGTCGTGGGTCTTTCAGCAGTCCACCACTGACAGGAGGAGGCCCCAATTGATTACAGACGCCCACACTGCTTCCCGAAGGAGCCCCGGATAAATCGCGTAAGTTCAGGTTTGAATCTAGAAGATGAGCTGGAAAAGGCCCTGTGAGGGGAAGTCGGAGCCAAAGGATAGGCCCGTGCCCCCCCCCCCCCCGCCAACTGAGAGCCTCCAAATGCTCGTGGGCGGCAACTCCCATCAGGCTCAGCCAGTGGCGATGAACGATGGCGTCACTGAATAAAATCGGAAAGGCCACAGTTGCCATTTGCTTCAACCAGTCCTTGACCTCCCTCTTCCAGGTATGCCTGGCATCTCTGCCTAGGGACTGCATGACACCTTCACTACCTCATAGGCAGAGAGACAGAGAGTGAGGGAGGAAGACCTGTGCTATTGGGAGGTTGTTATATAGGTCTCAGCATGCTAGGGTACCACGTGTGGTGGACAGAGTAATGGACTAGGTAGGGCTCAGGAGACCTGGGTTCAATTCTCCAGCTCTGCTGTGGAAATTCACTGAGGGATGGAACTGGTAAAACCATTTGTTAAATACCTCACTTACCTTGTAAACTCTCTTAGGGTCACTATAAATCAGTTCTGCGGCACATAGCAACAACATCTGCATGCTATGACTGGCTGCAGAATTATTCCAGTGCCTACGCTGTATTGCAATGAAGTGGGTCAGGCAGTGAGAAGTGGGGGTAGGGTTTCCTGCACTTTCTGTTCTCTGTGGTTGAATCCGGTGAGTGATACTTCCGCTGGCACTAAAGTCAGCATAAAGTTGCACCATTCAGGCTGGGACAGAAAAAGGGCTGCCGGGTTTTATATACATACACCCCTCTCCACCTTGTCTCCACTCCCATTCAGTTTTACACCAACAAAACAGCTGTGCTTTGTAACGGCACGAATGTCTGCTGAGAGAATCCCCCTGTTCCTTTTCCTCAGAATGTGTACCTCCGGCACAGGATTGCAGAGGATTTAGAAATAAACAGCATATTTCACCTCGAGGTTTGATATACAAGGATACGACCAGGGCTGTCTTTGCCGATAGAGTGAGCAGGCCACCTCAGGCAGCAGATTGGACTTGTCATGATACAGAAGAAGACGGTTGGCTGTTTACTGTATGATTATATTTTTATTTTCCAGATGGGGAGGAGGAGTTACAGCATTTCTAGTACTGTATGGCAAAATTATTGGGCTGAATGGCTTTCAGTATTCTGCATTTTGATTTGGGTGTAAGAGGAGTGCCATTTGATCCTCTGCCTCAGGCTGCAGAACATCTTCAGCCCTCCCTTGGAGCAGAAGACTGTCTATGTAAGCCACCCCGAGTAGACATTGTCTAGAGGGGTAGGGTAAATGAATGAATGAATGAATGAATGAATGAATGAATGAATGAATGAATGAATGAATGAATGAATGAAAGAGGACAGCCCTTTCCAGGTTACTGTGCCTCCGTGCTCCCTTTGATGTTGTCTACCACTCCTGTTTTGCAAGTTGCATACATTCTTAGATTTTCCCATCTTCATTCTGCCTAAGTCTTGTCTTCATTAGAATCTACCAGTAAGTGCTGTGTGGTCAGGCTATGTCAATCTGAGGCTATTACTGTATTGTTTTTTGTTTTTAGCAAGGCACATCCAACTCCTAGGAATCCTGTAGGGTTTTCAAGGCATGTGAGATTTGAAGAGTGATTTTTATCAGTGCTGCACCCAGCCCAGTGTGTTTCCGCGGTCAAACAGGAATTGGAATCCACGTCTCCCGAGTCCCTGTCTGCAACTTTGTCCACTACACACCACAGTGGCTGGCTGTGAAATTGAGTGGAACTGCTTTATTTGGGAGAAGGCCGATCTTTGCACTCTTAAATTATTTTCTTTTCTCTGTAATTCATGCTGTAGGTTTGTACAGGAAGAATTGTTGCTGTTCCCAAGTAAAGCCCACACTGGCAAAAGGCCTGGGATGAGCTGGATTCAGGCATCTGATCTTTAGAGGAAGGCAAACAATGGAACCGGTTCAACCAGTTTGGGAAGAACTGACCATGCAGTGCAGTCAATATGCATTCACATTGACCAGTTTCAGACCTTAGTTCCTCAAATATTATTTGCAGATTTATCAGCATGCCCTGTTTGGAACCTAGCTGTCTGTCACAATTAGATTCCTTTTTTGGGGGTGGGGGTGGGTGACTAAAAATATAAAATCTGCAGACACGGCTGTTTAAAAATGCATACACAAGTAAGCACTTTATGACCAATTATAACTGTATTCTTCCAACACGCTACTCCATCAGTGAGAGATAGTCCCATATACAGTATACTTCAACTGTTAGATGGTCTATGGCTCAAAATACTGTTATGGTTTTCTCTACGGGTGTCCAGACTCCCTGCCAGTATTTGCAGATCCAGGATGTCTTTCTTTTGTCATCTCACAAGTTTTGTTGGGATACCATACCCAGTTCAAAGGGCAGGAAGTGTGATCTTGAATAAGATTAAAGACTTAAATTGAAGAGAAAGAAAAAGGGAGAATCCACAAGGGCATCTCTTTTACTTAAAGGATAGCTGGTTTGGTAGCACTGCTATACTAATGCTCAGAATGCCCATGGTGTTCATGATCATGTTATTAAAAGAGGTCTGTATATTAATATTACAGCGTTGCAGATGGGGTGCTTAAGGGAGCAAGAATGGTTTACCTCGGCCACGGAGCGAAGACAGAAGCAGGGTCGAATTAGAGGATCTGATGTGGCATAGGATGTGTAACTGAAAAACAAAAAGTAAACAAATCCACACACACACGGCAAACCACACACACATAGGAAAAATACGGTGGTGTACCTTAAAGACTATTGGATGTACTTCTCTGTGGATTTTCATGAATGACAATCCACTTGGGGGAGTATAATCCGCAAAAGCTCATACCGAGATAAATCTGTTAATTTTAAACCTGCTATTATGATATTTGGCAAACGCTATGATCTGCAAAGATCTTTGATGAAGAGGACCCAGCCTGCGACCAAAGCTAGACAAACAATGTAAGTCGAGGGTCCACTGTATACGAAAAATACTGTGGTGTACCTTAAAGACTATTGGATGCACTTCTGTGTGGATTTTAATGAATGACAATCCACTTGGGGAGTATAATCCGCAAAAGCTCATACCGAGATAAATCTGTTAATTTTAAACCTCCTATTATGATGCTGTATTTGGCAAACGCTATGATCTGCAAAGATCTTTGATGAAGAGGACCCAGCCTGCGACCAAAGCTAGACAAACAATTTGCAGCCCAGGGCATAAAGGGCCGATTCGGAAGTCCCACTGGAACAAAAGGAGACCTCATTTACAGTCACTACCCTGCTCTCACCGAACTCAGCTGGAGAAAGGAAGGCACTCTGTCATGGTGCTTTGCTTACCCTAACTCAAGAGCAGCCGGAGACCAAACAGGCACATCACGACTGCCACCTACTGGACAAGGAGCGCATCCCACTTGCAGAATTATTTGTGGGATTCATGCTTTGCTTTTCAACAAGTGTCTTTTGGAAGATGAAAAACCCACGGAACAAATCCAGGCTCAAGCATCATAATTCCTTTTGAGAATCTGCACTAGAATCGAAGGAAAAACCAACAAGATACATAGTTCAGTATTTTTTTTTAAAAAAAAAACAGGTCCTTTATTCTGCTGTCTGTGTTTGATATGCAAAAATTCCGCAAGCGAAACTTTGGTAGAGAATTAAATGAGTCATTATCATTTGCAAGATAATGCAGATCCAGCCAAAACAGTAAATGAATAAATTGCAGCAACAGATACAGTTACTCTGATTAAATATCTGGCATAGATCTTACTTACTTTGGGCTTTAATGCTATTTCAATCTCATTATCCTGTTTTGAAGAGAAAGTCAATGCAAAGTATTTTTGACCTTGAGTTCAAGACAGGAAAGGCGGACTATGAATATAATTCAACTGCTTTGGGATTCTGGTTTGTTTTTTGTTATACAAGGTTGGGTGAGAGAGGTGTGCCTTGTTACCTCCACATTGATGGGGGAAGGGGGATAAAAGGGGTTGGGGTTGAGATTGGGTAGGACAAGACAGAAAAGCCTCTTTTTAAAAATCTGTTGTTTAGTTGTGACCGACTCTTCGAGACCCCATGGACCAGAGCATGCCAGGCCCTCCTGTCTTCCACTGCCTCCCGGAGTTGGGTAAAAGTCATGTTCCTAGCTTCCCCTTCTCCTCTTGCCTTCACACTTTCCCAACATCAGGGTCTTTTCCAGGGAGTCTTCTCCTCTCATGAGGTGGCCAAAGTATTGGAGCCTCAGCTTCAGGATCTGTCCTTCCAGTGAACACTCAGGGTTGATTTCCTTCAGAACCGATAGGGTTGTTCTCCTTGCAGTCTAGGGGACTCTCAAGAGCCTCCTCCAGGACCACAATTCAAAAGCATCAATTCTTTGGCGGTCAGCCTTCTTTATGGTCCAGCTCTCACTTCCATACAACTACTGGAAAAACCATAGCTTGGACTATGTGGACCGTTGTCAGCAAGGTGATGTCTCTGCTTTTTAAGATGCTGTCTAGGTTTGTCTTCACTTTCCTCCCAAGAAGCAGGCGTCTTTTAATTTCATGGCTGCTGTCCCCATCTGCAGTGATCATGGAGCCCAAGAAAGTAAAATCTGTCACTACCTCCATATCTTCCCCTTCTATTTGCCAAGAGGTGATGGGACCAGTGGCCATGATCTTAGTTCTTAAAAATTAGTGAGCAGTAAAAACTGGCAGACCAGCCACCAAAACAAACCACCTCCTTTCCCCGCAGAAACCACGCCTTCTCCCACAGATCTCGATACGATTCCGCTTCTATTAAAAGGCCCCCTCCCTTTTTCATTCGTCTCGCAGCCTTCTCCGTAGCGTGATTACTACGAGCCCAACAATTGGTTCAATTCGTCCATCAATCATCACTCTTTTCAGCTGCTATTGAATCCCGACGTCCTTCAACTTCAGTCGAACAGATGATTGGCTTAGTTGGCCACCAAGTAACCTTTGATGGCGCGGAACAAACCGTACAGTATGCTGTGACATCTTTAGTAGGAATATATCAATTTAAATTTGAACTTGTGGGCGGAGGACGTTCCACTTTCTCAAGCATCTTTGAAACTTGCAGGATTTCATCGACGTCGGAAAGGACACTCCCATTAAATGTTCTCTCGAGTCTACGGGGCGGGCGGGGGGAGGGGGAGGGGGGCGCCATCCCCGCCTTCCGAACGGGGGTCACGGGCGGAAGTGTGAAACAAATAGAACTATAAATGAATCAAAATGGAGAGAGCTAAGCAAACACCTTCGCAATTGGTCAGAAAGAAAGAAAGACGAATCATAGAATCACCCTGATTGGATGTCGAGGAGGCGACCTTACTTAGCCTTCTTTTTTTTTATTGGACCATAAGATGGGAGGCCTTGAAGTCTTATACCCGGATTGGTTATAGATCTATCCTCTGTACCTAGGTATTGGTCGAGGAGCAGAGATGGACACGCCCTCCTTCCCGCCCATCTCTCTCTCTCTCTCTCTCGCCTCCCGAACTAGCGATCTTTGAGGGTTCCAGGCGCCGCGTGAGCTGAAAGAAGGACCGCGTTCTCTGCCTCCACCATGAATATCCGGAACGCACGGGTTCGAGTCCCCGGGTCGATGCGGGAGTCTGGGTTGTTTCTGGGTGGGCCGGGGTTGAAATACAGAAGAGGGGAAGAGGTGGAGGCCTGGCTTGGGTTAAATCTATTCTTGGGGGAAAGGCCTAGAATCCCCAGTATCTCTCTGCCCGAAGGAAGGAGACGTATTAGATAGTGGTCTCCTTGATTTCTTGAAAACTTGCTTTCTTCGAGTAAATTGATTTCACGGATAAGTGTTTTAGGGATCGGGAGCTGTATGATCTGAATGAAACTTCCCTGGTCAGGAGCAGTATGTCTGTGAATGTTACGCTCTAAGGAGGTGTGTGTGTTAAATGGGGCAGCCATTGCCTCGAAATCTTGTCTGTGCGAGTCTTGCCAGGGTAGAAGAAAAGGGCTAGTCAGCATGGGCGAGGTACCCCTGACATGGGGTGACCAGAGGTGTGTGCCCTTCTCCTGAATACAGTACCTTTGCTTTAGATGACTGTTGAAGTCAACAGCAGCGGCTCAGTGGGTGCTTTGGGTGTCAGTTGGATCCCACAGGGGCCTTCGACCTCAATGAGTGGGTCTTTATTTTGATTTCTGGTCTGGTGTTCTGGTTCCAGTAGTGGTCAGCCGGAGAGATGGATCTGGGAAAAGTACTGCCAAGCCTTGAAGAGGATGGCTACTGAGTTTTGGTTGGCTCCAACATCTTGTGTTTCATGGTTTACTGCTTTTGGATATGGTGGTTTCCTTCAGTGATTGTCCTAATAGCCACTGATCCATCTGGCTGTGTCTCAACATTCTTCTTTCTCCCCTCTTTCCCCAACAGCCTGAAGATCTAATGAACATGCAACACTGCAACCTACTTTGTTTGCCTGAGAACTATCAGATGAAATACTACTTCTACCACGGACTCTCCTGGCCCCAGGTGACTCTCTTTATGTTTGCGTATCTGGTCATCCACTCACTCCTTTTAGGAAGATTGTAGAGGGGGCTAACTGTAGGTCTTGTCAACACAAACCAAGGCTCCCTCCATCCCCACCCCACCCTTTTTATTTGTTCTTTGGGATATGTGTCAGGAACTGGTGTGGTCACGGCCGTGATGCTTTTCCATAAAAGTTGCCTTTTTGAACTTGCTGACCAGCAGCTTCCATGACTCAGCCAACTGAGTGATTCTGCAGATGGTGGTCAAAAAAGTAATTTTCTCAAGGTCTATAAGTCAGAAACTAGAGTTCTGCTTCTGCCGCTGATCTCTACTATATTTATTTATGACATTTTTATGCTGCCTCATTTAGTGAATGTCCACTACTCTGAATGGTGATATAAAATGAAAATTATCCCCTCATTACCCACCCCACCCTCCAGAAACATATAAAGGTGGGGGGAGTCTAAAGAAATGACAGAACTCAAAAGAATGACTAAATTATGTTGGCGATCCTTTAAAACAGAGGTCCCCAAACTCCGGACCCCAGTCAATGGCCCTGTGCTGGTCTGCGGCCTGAGCCAGCCCAGGCCATGGAGACAGACTTCCCTCCTCACTCCTTTACACACTCCCCCCGCACAGCCCGTTTGCGCCTGCGCATGCGCACCTACGCACATGTGAGTGCTCCCCCACCCCTTCACGCACATGCACGAGTGCCCCCTGAGTGCAACACCACCCTTTGCGCATGTGCACAAGCGTCTGCACAAGCGCTGTGCCACCCTTTGTGCATGTGCATGAGCAAGCACTCCCTCGCGTATGCGCACGAGCGCAGGGGGGTGCCCCGCTTTCCCCAGCTGGTCCGCGGGGCTAAACACGTTGGGGACTGCTGCTTTAAGATACAAAAACAAAAGAAAACAACCCGAAGCCATAGGTTAAATGGCTTACATAGGCCTACATCTGGGAGTCTTTCAGCTTTGATACAGCCCTGATGACTAATGTCTCATGCATCATGCAGCAGGTTTTACAGGTCTTTGATAATGCCTTAGACTTTGTTGACTCATTAGGCCCTTTCAGACCTTACTGGCTGTTCTGTCCTGGAACTAGTCTAATCGTAGGAGCTGTGTGAGCTAATTAGTATTCATTAGTTGGCACAGGATTCGATTTGGGAACTTTTTGGTTCAGAACTCACCTGAGCTGTAAATTCTCTGGGTACTGTGTGGCTTTAAATTTCCTGACGTAGCGATGGTGGTTTTTGATAGCTGCACTCCTCTCCTCAAGCACCCACACATCTTAAATCCTGCCAAGACCTCCCTTCTTTGTCTATATTTTAGTATACACAAAACCCAGCCTTATAGTAGCAGGTGGGGAGAAGGAGGACAGCGCGGCTGAGGATGGAGGAAGGCTGAAAGTCTTTCTGGAGAATAACTCTGCATATGTTCCAGGCTGCATACTGGCCAAATGGTAGCTGTCTCCCTTGCTACGCATTCTTTTAATAAGGAGATGATGTGTGTGTGTTGTGTGTTGTTTATTGTTCTTGGTAATCATGAGGCTAATCAACTGCTAGAAAGATGAGCAAGTGGGTCTTAGATCAAATGAAGCCTGAACTGTTTCTTGAGGCAAAAACATTGAAACCAAAGCTGTTCTGCTTTGGACACATCATGGGAAGGTAGGATTTGCCAAAGCTGTCCTACTTTGGACACATCATGGGAAGGTAGGATTTTCTGGGAAAGAATAAGGCAGCAGGAAAAGAGGAAAGCCAAAATTTTCTGGAAAAGAATAAGGCAGCAGGAAAAGAGGAAAACCAAATATGAGATGGGCTGACTCTCTAAAGGAAGCCACAGGCTTGAGTCCAGAAGAGCTGAGCAGAGCTGTTGAGAACAGGACAGTTTGGAGATGGCTCATTCATAGGCTCACCATAAATCAGAAGCGACTTGACGGCACGTAACAGGAACAATTGTTAATTATCATTAAAAAGAATAAGGCAGCAGGAAAAGAGGAAAACCAAATATGAGATGGGCTGACTCTCTAAAGGAAGCCACAGGCTTGAGTCCAGAAGAGCTGAGCAGAGCTGTTGAGAACAGGACAGTTTGGAGATGGCTCATTCATAGGCTCACCATAAATCAGAAGCGACTTGACGGCACGTAACAGGAACAATTGTTAATTATCATTACCAGAGCAACCTTGGAAAATGTGTATGTCTATGTCTATATCAGCATGTAGGTGAAGTGCTTTTAATACACACACAATACTGTACTATGTAAACTTAAAATAGTGTTCTAAAAGTTTTTGATGGGATCTCTTTCCTCCCTTTGGCTTTGCAATTAGAAGAACTGCATTTCTGCTGATCTTGATGGTTGAGTTTTATGTTGCTCGCATGGCTTCTTAATGTTTTGCGAACAAAGCTGTACTTTGCTGTGCTTCTTGCTGGGTGAGGAGTGTTCCCCCAGAACTCAAGACTAACCTCCAGGCTAGCTTAACCTTTTTTCTCTTTAACTGCCTTCTTGCTCTTCCCTAGCTCTCCTACATTGCTGAGGACGAGAACGGCAAAATTGTGGGATATGTGCTGGCAAAAATGTGAGTAGCTCCATCAATTGAATTTTATTTGTATGGGGGGGGATAGGAACCCCTTATCTGTGGGAGCAGTATCTTCTGATTCACTTATCCACAGTCTGAAGATACTAAAAATATCAAAAGAAAAACCCTAAAGTATATACAGTATTCCTAAAGGTGAATTTGCCAGAACAAGCTACTAGAAGGAGCCAGAGACCATGTTATGCATAGTGTTTGTTATTAAAATAGTGTTCGCTATAATTTGCATTTTTCAGCATCTGCAGAGGGAGGGCTTGGAAGCAATCCTCTGTGGATATGGGCGTCCTACTATACAATAACACCACAGTATTCATGGTGGATTGGTTCTAAGCTTCCTCATGGAGGATGGAAATCAAGAATAAGCAAACCCTATACATAACGCCCCCCCCATTAAATGTAGCACTAAAGCATATTGCAACTTCTTGCCAAGCTACAGTGGGTGGAGGGAAAGATACTGGTCCTTTACATTGCAACTTTGCAAGATGTTGCAGCATGTGTTAAGGTTGTGTGTAATTTGATGTATGTGTATATAAAATATATCATGAGCATTTCAGTTACTCTGGAGTCTTTTCGAAACAGTAAACAAGAAAGCTAAATGTGTTAGAGAACAAGCATAGGAACATAGTCATGGGGCTAGCTGGATAGCTCAGTGGTTTACGTCTCTGGCTGCAGAGCCAGACGTTGGAGGTTCCATTCCCCACATTGCCTCCTGTGAGTAGAGCCAGCCTGTGTGGCCCTGGGCAAGCTGCACAGACCCAGAAGAAGATAATGGCAAACTACTTCTAAGCCTTGTGTACCTGGAAAACCCTGAAAAGGGTCGCCGTAAGTTAGAATTGACTTCACGGCATATTATTATAGTGGGGGAATGGAGTCTGTGAGCAGCCTTGGGAGAGATGTTAGGGCACCTCCTTCAATTTCCATCTTTTAATAAACCTATAGCTCTTCCTTATGGGAATAAAAGGAAAAAATGTGCAGATAGTGTTATGCCCAGTGTTGCACTCAATAGGAAACAATCCCTCTCTTAATTTCCATTGTTCCTTTTTAATGAGGAACGTTTTGGTTACTAGCATTTTGTCATTGTTGTGACAAATGGGTAGAAAGTGTTTTTGAGTTTTTACTCTGATGGTTGTTTTGTAGTTTTGGGTAGTGGAAGTCGTTTGACCAAATGGAAGGAGAGGATTATCTAATTTAGAACAACATGTCACCCACTAGCTACAGTTTTTAAGAATTGCATTAGGCGTAGAAACATAGATATGTTTTCCCCCCGTTAATATTGTGATTGTGGTTGGAGCTGAGTGGACCTCTCCTTTCCTTCTTTAGGGAAGAAGACCCGGATGATGTTCCCCATGGACACATCACATCCTTGGTAATGTCTCCTTGTCCTTTCATGGTTATGTGCCTGAGCAGGCCAGATTTTTGGGGTGAGGGAAGTGGTCTGGGGCTTGTTCTTAGCTCTTCAGACCGTGCGGTGGGACTGTTCTTTCAGGTTTTGTCTTGCAAGGGTTCTTTTGACAGCTGGGACTTTGGAGCTGATCCACTGCTGCCAGGATCTTCTGAGATCTGAGAGCCTGAGCAGGAACCCTCCATGCAGCAGCTGGGGATTAGGAGCTGCTCCCTTGAGCCCCCCACCCCACTCCAGTTTGATGCTCAGCTGCTGGGTGAGAGGTGCCTAGCTGGGCAATTGGGTGACTTTGTTAGGTGAAACAGTGGAAAAGAGAAGAAATGGTTAGCAATGCTGTTAAATTATTCTTTGTTACAAAATCACTGTGCTCTACACACACTTGTATGAACGCATCCATCACAGCACCAAAAAAGTCATTGTGGTTATATTGCCAGAAGCATCCCAGAGGCTGCTGGGATGAGGTTGGTGGTCTTGTCCTGGCTGGGGAAGTCTGAAGCTCGGTGATTTAGGTCCCTGGCTTCGGAGCCAGAGGTTGGGAGTTCAATTCCCCACTGGGCCTCTTTGAAAGAGACTTGATGATCCATAGGGTCCCTTCCAGCTCTGCAGTTTGAAGATGATGATTATATAAATCTTTCATTGGGGTGTGCTGCTGCTAATTCTGGGGGAAGGAAGGAAGCACTTTTCTCCTTACTCCTTGTCCTCCTCTTTCACTAGGCAGTCAAGCGTTCCCATCGACGTCTGGGCCTGGCTCAAAAGCTGATGGACCAGGCCTCGCGTGCCATGATCGAGAACTTCAATGCCAAGTACGTCTCCCTCCATGTGCGCAAGAGGTGAGTTTCTCCTCGTCCCTGTTTGTGGTCAACTTGCTGTCGTGTTAACAAAGAATTAAAATGTAAGTGTACTGTTACGTTACGACATGGTTTTTGACCTATGTTGGATTTGTTTCTGATGGCAGGCCTGCCTTATGCTCTCACCTTCAACCTTCTGTGCACCTTGTTGTGATCAACACTAAAGGCCCCTTTTTGTTGTGGCACCTGTGGTGAAAGCATGCCCATCCTTTCCACATCCTGTACCACACAGTGTTCAGGAAGCCCTGCTGGTCTGGTCTGAATGTGTGGGTGGCAAGAAAGGCCCTTTTGCCAGAGCTTGGGAAAGTAACTTTTTTTGGTCTACAATTCACAGAATTCTGGGCTAGGAAAGGAGAAAGAGGGAAGAGCATGGGGGACATCTCTGATTCGGTTGCAATGCCCCTGGTCTTAAGGTCATGCCCGAACACTCCTGACTTACCAAACTGTTCTCTTTTTTCTCTCTCTCTCTTTCCCTCTCCCGCCTTGCAGTAACCGAGCAGCATTGCACCTTTATTCCAACACTCTCAATTTCCAGTGAGTACTGTGAGAGGAAATGCAGTCATGGTGAGATCATGGCTAGAGTATTAGCCTAGGAGTGGGGGGTGAGCAGATGTGCAGCATTGACTTTGTTTTTTTTCTTGCATCATGTGGCCAGTCAACGGCAACTAGGTGGGAAAAAAAGAGCATACACTTAGAATTAAACTGTTCTGGGTCCAGAATGCATCTTGACTACCGGTACTGAATGGAGGTCACAGTCCCAAGAGGGCTGTCGCACCATCCAGTTCCAGGTGGCAACCAAATTTGAACCACAGTTGTGGATACTTTGTGATGCAGACGGGTTGTTAAAGCAGGACCACAAAGCAGGCTGTCCATATCTTTCCTGAAATGGTAGAAAAAACAGAGAGGTTGTGTGTGTGTGTGAGTGAGAGTGAGAGAGAGAGAGAAGTATTTATTGCTACTTACGTATTTATAGTATTCTCACTGTTCAAACCCATTGGCATGCATTTTCTCAATAATCCTTACAACAACCCTGGTAGGCCAGTGTTGTTATATTAATTAAATGCTGCAAGAATAGTGCTCTGCCTTGAGCTATATCTGTTTTTTACTGAAACTCACAGAGGCCCCAGGCAGCAGAGTGAGTGGACAGGGATATTGGGAGCTAAAGGACAAAACAGTGGAAAAACAGTAGACCCACGGGTGTTGGGACTTAAAGAAGATTTTCAACTACGCACTTCCCAGCTCTTCCTCCTACACAACACAAGTTGGAAACAAGCTTTTTCTCTCTCTCTCTCTCTCTCTCTCTCTCTCTCTCATGGCTTTTCAACTGAGGTTAACATGCTTGCTGTTTTCAATAGGATCAGCGAAGTGGAACCTAAATACTATGCTGATGGGGAAGATGCATATGCGATGAAGCGTGACTTGACGCAGATGGCAGAAGAAGTGAGTATTGGGCCTTGCGGAAGCATTTCAGTCCAGGAATGTGTATCCTTTGTCTCCAAGTTCTAAGGCTTCTGTTCCATTCATTGCAATAGCCCTTAACAAAGGCAACTTGCTGCTGAAGCTGCCGATGCCCAACAACCAACTGGTCTCCTCAGTGGGCCAGATCTTGGCTACGTCCTCCATCAATGGCCTCAAAAGTGGTCATTCATTAGCCAGGCCCTTGGCAGTTAATTTTAACGTCCCAGGAGATGAACAGTGACTAGAAGCGGGGAAAAAAACAAGCAGGGAATATGCAGGGAAATGGGAGCCTCAAGCTAGCTGTCTTCATTGTATCTTTGTTTTGCAATGCTTAAGTTTTCCTCCCCTTAGCTCTAAAGCATGGGTCCCCAACCTTATTGGGCCAGCAGGCATATTTGGAGCATTGAGAGAGTGTTGTGGTCGTTTTCAGCATGGCTTCTACTGAGGAGGTGGAGCTTGCTCATCTTCAAGGTGGCTCCTGATCAGGTGGGCATGGCCACTCACGAAACACCTGCTTCCTGAAAGGCCAATGGATGAGGCTAAAGGAAAAGTAACTTGCCCAAGAACCCGAGCATCACACCAAGGGAGGGGCTAAGCTCCAAAGCAATGGCATGTTTCCATTCCAGTGACAGACTAGCAAAACCATTCTTTTGCAGAAGGCGAACTGGCAAGGCCCAGCGCTTAACCTTTCTTAAGTGACTAAGCATATGACAGAGGTGGAATCCGAGTTTGGAGCGCCAAGGCACATATTTGCCCACATAAAGGGAAATGCCCCTTATACAGATGGGTATTTTAGGGGCTGTGCAGAAATAAAGTTGCACTGGAAGTCAGAACCAGGATTGGAGTTTGGCAGCTGGTTTATTTTTGAATTTAAAAAAAAAGTTTTAAAAAATCGGGAGGCTGGTGGGCACCAAAAGGGAAGTCTCTGTGATCTGCAGTGTTGTGGGAGATAAACCGATAAAGAGAAAATAATGAGTTAGGCAGGGATGAGAAGAGGCTTTGGCTCTCCAGATGTTCCAAAGCTCAGCTCCCAGAAACCCTGCCCAGTTTAGCTCATCATGAAGGGATTATGGGAGTGGTAGCCCCAGATACCTGGAGGATGAAAGGTTCCCAGCCCCGGCAATTGCAGCAAAGTGTCCAGAGGTTTTTTTGTGTTTGTCTGTGATACCCTCTGGCTTTCTCTGTCTATATCAGGGGGAGCCTTTTGAAAGCCAAACGTGATGACTTTCCCAAAGGCCTTTCTATCAACATGTCACATGTCGTTACCCAAGCTATTAAGTCATTGGAGCAGAATCCATTCCTGTGCTTGAGCATCGCTACAACCTTTGTATTGTTTTTTTGGGCATGCCAAAATGTTGGATTTAGCTAAGGTCTGTAGACTGGGATATCTTGGAGGCCACCTTCATCCCTGTTTCCAACTCTCAAGTCTCAGCTTCTCTGCCCAACAAATTTACATACTGACTGAGGACAGTTTTGAAAGGGGTTAGCCACATTCCTGGCTATAGGGTTTTAGGGCTGCTAAACATGGTGGCTATATGTTCTTTCCAGCATCATCAGCAGTGTGCCTCTGAAGACCCATAGTTGGGGAGCATGAAGGGTTTTGAATGGGATGTTGTGCTCATGTCTCGGATATGGGCTTCCCATAGGGACTGTCTTCAGGACATAAGCCATTGTCCTTTCCCAACCAGCTGTCCTCCAGATGTTCAACTCCCATGATCCTTCACTCTTGGGATCAATATCGCATTGGTTGGGGCAGATCAAATTGAAGACCAAAATATGGTGGAGGGCATCAGGTTGGCCACCGTGTGAGTGGAATGCTGGAGTAGAGAATGGTCTGGTCCAGCAAGGCCATAACATTGGTATGATATTACTCAATCTCCATCAATCACCTGACCTACGCATATATGTTTTGATATTATGTGAAGAGTCTGAATGTTGACTTCTGTTTGGGTTGTGTTGAGGCATTTGGAGAAGGGACCATGTTTGATGATATCTTTTTTTCCTCTATTTCAGCATGGCCTTTCCCCATTAACCTTTTATTCACCTCTGTGATTAAATAGTTTCACACAGTTCATCTATCTCCCCTTGAGGTTGTACTATAACAAAAAACAAAGCACCCTTTCCATATAAACTATTTCCTTCGGGTAGATGGTGCTTTCCATGGTGGTCAGGCTGAGTGGTGCCTTTTAAATAGCTGTTTGTGTTGAGCAAGACAGTTCTTTTGTCCGTGTCTACCCTTTTCTTGAATGCTTTAGTTATATGCCCTTTAGAGAGGGTCTGTGTGCGTCGCTGTTCCCCTGAATGTTCAGAGTGTGGCTCCCCCCCTTGTTACTTGGCAAAAACAAGATGGAAAGGTAAAGAGGTAACTAGAACATCTTTTGACTGGTTGTAAAAAGAGAGGGTTTTGAAGATATGAGCAATAACAGATGACTATTGTTTTTCAAAAATAATGTATTTTTTGCCCTTTATTTTCAAATTGTCAATGCAGGGTGCGGTATTGATTAAAAGGATGCAAATATAGTACACACACAAAATTCACAGAACCCTCCTTTCCAAATTTTTGTGCTGATTTTGTTGCTAATAGTTGCAATTTTAATGGTTGTATTGTTTACTCTGTTTTTCTTTATTTGTAATTTGTTTTTAGCTTGTTTTAATCATGCTCATTCGCTGCTGTGATTGCTTTTCTCAGTGTTAAGGATTAACTGCTGATGCTAAAAACGAGGACCACCATGATAGTAACAATAATCAAGCAGTTCCCTAATGAGGATATTCTCTTTCCCCTAGGGGCTAGCACCATTGGGTTGTCTCCTGGGTGCTGCACTGATTTTTTTTATATAATTCAATGGCATTCCCTTTATATAAAAAAAGTTAAAATGAATCTTTTTCTCCCCCCCCCACAGCTGCGCAGGCAGGCAGACTTGAAAGAGAAGAGCAAGCACTCTGTTCTGGGCTCCATCGAGAACAAGGGTGGCGACCACAAGGCCAACCACGTGGGCGAGTGCTGCCGGGACGACAAATGCCCAGGAACGGCAGTGGGCGGCGGGCCAGGGACTGAAGACAGTGGCGACAGCAAGGATGTCAGTGAGGTCAGCGAGGCCACGGAGAGCACGGACGTCAAGGACAGCTCAGAGGCCTCCGATTCGGCCTCCTAGCTGGGGCTCCCGCTGTGCTCTTCCCTTCGGCGGAAGGACTGCCTGGTTGTCCCGTCTCCTTTGGCTGGGTTAGGGGGTCGGCCCCTAGAGGTGGATTGGAAATAAAGCTTAAGGAACCGGAGGTTTGCGCATGTGTGTATTGCTGTGGCAGATGCCTGTTATGGGAACAGGGGCCCAAACAACTGTTGCACGCAGGAGTGATGGGCCCTGGAGTGGCTGCATGTGGCCCACTTCTTTCTCCCACTGCATATCACTTCTCTCCATACCATAGCCTGGAAATCAGCCTCTCTCTATGTTGTCAGACTCCAGTTCCCTTCACCCCTTGACCACCTTGGTGATGGTAATGACAACATGGGGGCATGGGGCACCGTCGGTCTCCCACGCTGGCTGAGAGATCGGAAGACCTCTTGTCCAGAATAAATTTTTCACAAGTCCTCCTCTCTTTCCCAGAGGGCTCCAGGACTCCAGAGCTGCCACCACCTCTCTGAGATGTTGCCATTTGACCTTTCCAGTGGATGCGGAAGAGGAGAGGGTTCCGGCTGTCCTCGGTGTCCCTCTGTACTCTCTGTGTCTGCTGTATCCTCTCCGCCGTTGCAGGAAGAAGGGTGTCCCAAAAGGAGACGAGAGAGACTGAGGGGTGGGAATGGGGCTGTAGGAAAAAGTCACAACTCAGCTGGACAGAGCAGCCTTGCCCACGTTATGCCAGGAGCAGAGAGAGGCTTCTTCTGTGCTGTTGAAACAATCATCCTATCTGAAATGGGTTTAGCCTGTGAAGGAAAGCAATGGCATCTGGGTAGGATGTGGAGAAAAAATTAAAAATGACCTTTAAACAACAGGTGTGCCCCTGCTATTCCTGAAAACTGTCAGTACTCAGCAGTCAGGGAGGGCTTGATGCCACCCATTGACAGAGCCAGTGAACTCAAGTTGGGGGCAGACGCTCCTAAGATCTATTCCGGCATTCGTACAGGGAAAGGGATGCCAGAATATGTGCGTATTAAAGGTGGTTCACAAGTTGCTAAAAAAACAACACACCAACTAAAACCAACAATAATTTATGACGTGAAAGAAACATACCACAGTATTAAAACTATTAGTTAAAATGCTAAAAACGTCTTTAAAATGCATCAAAAACACACATAAAATAATAATATCCAGCACACAAGGGCGAAATTTTTCATTCTCACTAGGGTAGAAACACTTTCCTATTTACCTTCACTCTGAAGGAGGGAAAAGAACCTGTCAAGGCAGAAACACCAGAAAACAGCCTTATGTACAGTGCAGCTGGTCACCCGTGGGCACATCACGTGGAATCTGTCTTTACCAAAGGACCCTGTAAAATGCTGGGTGATGTTTTATATGTTGGAAGCTCCCAGTTCAAATCCAGCTTCCACATTAGGAAAAGGGGGTCACCTCAGCCACCACTACGGTAGCCTCCCTGTACGTCATCAAATAGCGTATCATGAAGTGATCTGAGAAAATCCTGATAGCTTGTAAATAATGTGTACCTTAGGTCATCTCCGTGTCTCTCCTCTCCTCAGCTGCAGTCTAATGGTGCAATCCAGAAACCCAGCACCTCAGTTCTGCAGAATGTAGCACTGCTTTCATTCCTTAAAATAATGTTTTGGTTTCTTGGTTTTCTAGTTTCAGAGCCCTATTTCTGCATGGACTTGGCCACTGGAGCTCTACATATTAACGTTGTGTCATCCAGTTAATTCAGACTTGTGGCGGCCTTTCCAGGGTTTCCTAGGTATAAAGAATTCAGAAGTGGTTTACCAGTTTCCCCTTTCTGGTGGTGCTCAGGGACCATACAGCTTGCCAAAGGCTACACCAGTGGTTCTTAACCTTTTTGCAAGAAACGCCCCCTTGAGCCATTGAGGAAGTTATCATCGCCCCCTCCCCGCGGTGACAATATCTTTCTTTCTTACAAACAGCAGGGCACGTAACTGTATCAGCCGCACACGTGCTGAGTAGTCTTGCCCCTTTTCTGGAAGCCACAGTGGGAATTTGAACTGCTGGCCCCTGGCTCTGCAGTCAGACACTCCAACCCACTGAGCCATCCAGATTTTTTTTTCTTTTTAAACAGAGCTGTACATATCACCTCCCTATTCCTCCATGTAACTGGGGAATTATGTTCTGCCTCGAGTACACACATCACTGCTTTCCCAAAACTGGGACTCATGCTTCGAACCTACTGCAACTATGTGAACTGATGACTTGCAAACTGTCCTATCATTAACAGTCTTTAGTTTCCAGGTCTTGAGAATTAAATCATCACAATCATTACCTTAGAACTGCAGGGCTGAAGGGGACCTTGTGGATCAACGAGTCCATCCCCTGTCAAGGAGGCACAGTGGGGAACTGAACTCCTGCCCTCCGGCTCACCCAAAGACCTGAACCACTGAGCTAGCCAGCTGTCAAGCTGTGGCTTGCTTTACTGAGTCAATCCACATCCAAAGACCTGAACCACCGAGCTAGCTCAATACTATGTTAGAATTTAGCAACCCTCATATGCTGACTTTAAGAGGTTTTGACTGGAAGGGACCTTCTGGATTGGGGGGGAATGCCAATCAATACACCAGCAATTCATGTATAGTCTTTCTCCTATTGCTTTCCATTTTTTTCCAACTATTATGAAAGCCTTTGCGGATATATTATGAACACTCTTGTTCTGTGCCCTCCAATTGCTCCTGAGTTATGGTACTCCTAGTTGGCTTTTTTTGAGGATATGTGAAATGTTCAGGGAGGGATGTATCATTGTTGTAACCAGGGATTTCAACCCTAGGATCTCCTGAGTTCCACCTCAATACTATGTTGGAATTTAGCAACCTTCATATGCTGCACCAACTGTTCCCTCTCTGCCAGAACTCTTAAGAATCCCTTTTCCCACTCTTTTTCAATCAGGGGTCAGTGAGAATCTATCATGTAATCAGTAAGCAGACTATGAATCAGTTAAGCTCTGTCCATGTAACTGGTCATTATTTTTCAACAATATGCTGTTCATTTGTTTTTTAATCTATTCAGGGTGTGAGTAAATTGAACTCTTTATTCTTTCTCTCACCAGTGTCTCTGAGTTGACAGTATGTGTCAGTTGATGAGAGCAAGCTAATAATAAATAAATAGTTCTACTTTGTAAGTCCATTAATTTTTTCCCCTGCTGCGTAGAGGTTTTTAAGCCTAAAATTTCACATCCGACCAAGACATGCTACTTGCTACACCACGCAGACTAACATGAATAACACCCATAAGATTCATAAAAAAAATCTTACCGACAGCAGGCAAGCCCTTCTTGCAAAGCCAGCAGAGGAAATAAGGCCTCGATTAGAGGCAAACAATCAATCTTTGATGTTCTTAAGCCGGAGTGCATCCTCACGATAATTTAACACTGATTAGTTGAGCATAAGCTTTTAAACGATCCTAAGGGTATACTCTTGTTTAGTACCTTGAAGACACGTGGTTAGACTGCAGGGATTTAAGAGGAGGCGGGGCGTCAGTTATGCCCACCCCCTGCGTCACAGGATTGGCTTGAAGGGCCCAGTACTGAGCGATGCCGCAGAGAGCGACACGCATGCCAACCGGACACATCAGGACGTTTCTTTCCCAGTCTCTGATTGGCTGCAGTTGCGCCTACGCTCTGATTGGAGACTTCGCAGGGTTTACCCCCCCTCCTTCGTCCGCGCCCCCTCTACCGGCGGCTGTAGGAGAAGCAGGAGGCCGCGGAGGAGGAGGAGGAGGAGGGCTGAGCCATTGGTGAAGTCCGGGCTGCGTCCAGGGGCGAAGCGCTGCGCTTCAAGCCACCGGATTGGAAGCACGCGTGCCATGTCCTCCTGTACGCGCCCTGCCCCGGCCGCCTCTTCGGGAAGATCCCGTTGCGTTACGCAGTGTTGGTGAGACGCGGTTTGGGGGGCAGGTGGAAAGCTCCGGGGCAGACGCAGCCAGAAAGCTCTGTGTGTGTGTGTGTGTGTCAAGTGACATAAATTCACATTTAAATCTGGGGAAGAGGGATGGTTATTATATGACACGGCTAGTTTTCTGAGGGCTCCCCTTAATGCTGTTGCTGAGAACGCGTGAGATAATGCTGAAATGATGATGAATATTCAACTCTGGCTTGCGAATGACTGTTTCCATTTTGAGACCTTGTTCTGGTTCAGTTTGCCGAGCAGGTTAGGGCTGATTTTCTTAGATGCTTATTTATACTATGACTATGTGTTTGCATATTAAACATCAATCAGAGAGGGTATGTGAGGCCTTCCTTCCACACAAAAAACTAAAATGCTGAGGAAAACACGTCTAGCCTAATATTTTCCTGATGTACTAATTACCTATATGGGGTGGTGTGGGGGAGGGATCTGAGATGAAGTACTGTAGAATAGCCCATACATAGGTAAGGGCATCTGTGAAAAATCAGGACTGGATGTAAAACGTTTTTGTTTTGCAAAACTTCATTTTAGAGATTAAGAATCAATCTGTTTTTAACCAATTTCTAAATTAAACTATGCAGCTGTGTATTCCAGGTATGAGGATTGGGTTGATTTGGATGGGGAGAGGCAACAGGGAGCTTTATGCTCTATAGATGAAAGCTATTGGTATGGACTGGGAAGAATCCACATTGCACTTGAACCTTCAAAATTTGTGATCCGGATGAATGTATATGGTATGAATTAGGGGGGAAATGAAAACTTTAAAAAGTATATACTGTACATATTTTTTTCTCTCTGTGAGCCTAACTTGCCAAATCTACTGTTGGTGATTATAAGTATTTATGTAGTGCTTGAAAAACACTTCAAACATCCCATAAGCCAACTGGCATAATAATTAGAGATAGGTTTTGCCATCCTTGGAACAGTGCCCACCCACACCCTGTTTCTGCGGTGTTTAACTGTGTGCTTTGTTCCTTGCATTGACTTGTGCATCACCTACGGCTATCTGTTGTCATCTGCCTTGGCTTCAGCCACTGTTAACACTGTTAAAGAACCTGACCCTTGGCTTGTGTTGGAGGCTTGGCCATCATTACACTCCTGGCCAGCATGTTTCCTTCACGTTGTCACAGTGGCTGTGAAAGAGGGTAGTAGTGTGTGGATGGGAAGGGTTATTTGGTGGAATGTTCTAAAGTAGTGTGGACCTTGACTAACGTGGGTTTGTTGGGCTAAGAAACAAAGACACTTTTTTTAAGGCTTAGTGTTTCCCCCAAGAGCAAACCTTGTTCCTCTATAGTTCATAGTTATGGAGAGTTTAAGCAGAACTTGTATTATTATTAAGATCATTCTTAGCAGCCTTTCCTCAGCTTGCAGCTTTCTGGATGTATTGGACTGCAATGGCCAGAATCCATTTGGGAAACAGAGCAAGGTGCTTGGAATCCTGTTGTTATCCCTGATCACACTGATCAGAGACAACAATAATTTGCAGCAACAAGCAGTGGCCTAGTTAATTTGTGAATGTTGCAATGGTTAGCAGAACATACTTTCCCCTTTCAGAAAGCAATCACATCTAGACTGCTCTTTCACTTTTTAGGAACAGAGAGATGATGTCTCCTCTGTGCTCTTCTAGAGAAGGCCAAGACGGAAGAAAATGCCATCAGCAACCATCAGTTTAGGTGGAAGGAAGGCTAGCATAGATCAGAGCAGGTAAAGGTCCGTCTAGGAAGCCTGAGGAACTCCTTCTTTCTCTAACTATCCCTCCCCGTACAAAGGCATTCATTTTCTCAGTGAAAGCTGAATTGCACCTAATCACTTTCGGTGAACAACAGGATTCCCAGTCACACGTTGCACTCCCTTTTCTGCATGGAAATAACTAAGCTTGGGAAAATAAGGTTGTCCCAGAGATTGGAAAAATTAGTTTATTTGGACCTTATCTCCCAGATGATTCAGAAATGGCCAGTCCTTCGCTTTAACTCTTGCCTCTGCTTACAGGAATATCTTTTGGGTGTGTGTGAGTGAGTGAATTAGCAGGCTGTCTGTATCCTTTCCAGATGCAGATGCGGTTCGATGGTCGCTTGGGATTTCCAGGTGGATTTGTGGATCCACAAGATGCCTCCTTGGAAGAGGGCCTGAGTAGGGAACTGCATGAAGAGTTGGGTCCTGGTGCTGCCTTGCTTCAGGTGACTGAGAATGACTACTTGAACGCCTACATCTCCGAGAGGCCTCAGAGAGTGGTGGCACACTTTTATGTCAAGCAGCTTAGCCTGGAGGAACTTCGGACCCTGGAGGAGAGGGCCGTGCAGGCCAAAGACCATGGCTTAGAGGTACAGAGAGAATGAATAGCAGGGTGATGGTGTGCGCATTCTTCCTTAAGTTTAAAATCCAGTGTGCATTTACCTTAGAACAAGTCTCATTGAACTCACTGGAGCATACTTTTGGCAGACAGATTCAGGATCTGTGATAAAAACCGGGGAAAAGAACCCCAAAGACTTGTGACACCTTCTGAACTAACTTTTTAGTTTTAATATGCGTTTTCATTGAGTATGGCATTTAGGTCATACTGTACGTAGTTACGGAGATAAATCGAAATGATCTACAGAAAGTGGCAATTGCATTAGAAACACTGGCATTGAACTTCCAGAGTTGGGATTGCATAAACATCTTGATGGTAGGCAACGTTTCCTCTAATTTGCAGCCCTGTTGGGTGGGGCTCTGCCTCTTGTGTGTGCGATGCCACATGCACGCAATGCCGCACTCCCTGCATGGGGTTCTGCCATGACTAGAACCAAAGGGACTGAAAACAATAACTGTGGGTGCACGGAGGAGGAGTCCTATGGGGGTGGATATTAGACACACATCTTGGAGGGAACCTTGATGGTAGGTAATTAGTTGGTTATAACCATTGGTAAAGTAGGAAAAGTGTGAAGAAAGTAGGAAAAGCCAATGGGCTAGTCAGGTATAATCTAAACCAAATCCCTTATGAA